GCGCGAAATTAAGTTTTTGAAAGATTCGGTAAGTCAAGGTAAGTCAAGAATACAAATTTATATAATCAAAACAAAAAACATATCTGTGCAGGGAAATTGCTTTGTCACATATGACAGGATAATTGTCAGGAAAATCGTGTCTGAAAATTAAAACTTATCAAAAAATTAAAATACAAAATTTCCAGAACCTGACATCAAAAAAAAAAAAAAAATTTTTAATTCATCTGACAAAGATGCACCTGTACCGATGCGGAATAATTATTTCGCCATATATGGCAAACGTTTAGAACAAAGGTTGTTTTTGATCCAGGATTACAGTTTCTCTTATTTCCGAAAATTATCGTTAACAGAATAAAGACTTTATATTATTTTTTTTTCCATATTCCTTATGATTAATATTTACGCGTAATAATATTATTGGTTCGAATCATATTTTATTATGTATCAATATAAAGTTTTGAAAAATTAAACCTATAATAAGTTATATTGTTTATGTTAAACAAGCAAAAATATGTTAAATTTAGTTTATAGCGCTAGATCTTGCGAGTCATCCTGAACTTGATGTTACCAAGTACTAGAAATTGTCCTGAAAAATTACAAAGACGTTAGCACTATCTTTAATGAGTATGCATTTTTATAAACTATCATTTTAATATAATGATTGATTTTTTATTATATATATATTCATAAGTAAACAATAATTGGGAGGCGGTCAATAGAAAAAGGGGAAATCTACTTTTTAGTTAAAAATTTTTTTATTGGTTCACTCTGCCGAGCATGGTCATGTGAACAAAACTAGCTTAATAACTAAAATTACTCAAAATTTGTAGATTTCCCCCTTTTCTATTGACTACCTCCCAATTAATTGCAAAATTAAACTACTCTAAATTAAAGTTGTACCCAACATTCCTCCTTGAGCGGTCCTTGCGTACCACTCCCACGCTTTGACCACGTCTATATCTACACCTTTACCACATAAATAGCAATCTCCTACATGAGAAAATGCTTCCGCATATCCTCCTTCAGCGGATTTTAAGTACCAGCCGAACGATACTTCATTTATATCTACTCCTATACCATACTGATAGCAATGTCCCAAATAACATTGTGCACCACGGTTTCCTTCCATCCAAATGCTTTTTGGTCATTATTGTTTGATGTAAAAAATTTTCCTACTCTAAATTGCGCATCTGCATTTCCATAATTTGCAAATTTTAAATACCACTCCATCGCTTCTTCTTTGTTTCGTAACAATTTCCTAACATCCATTGCGCATCTTTATTACCTCTTCCCTACACCCATTCAAATGCTCTTATTTCATTTTTTTCGTTCCTACACCATGCTTGTCCTCTTTCGGCAGATTTTAAACATAATTGGAACGCTTTATCTACATTTACCTTCGTTCCTTTTCCGTAAAAGTAACAGTCGGCTAAATTGTATAGTGCAAATGGATCACCATCTTCCGACTTGAAATCGAAGGTATCATCTACACTTACACCATAATTATCGTGAACATTCCATTTGTTAATTATTTTATTTTCGTAGTATATGGTTAATAACATGTCTTTTGGTTCGAGATTGGTGGTAGAATTATAAAAAAAAAGTGCCTTTTCTTTATTCTTAATAAGAAGTTGATAGAAAATGCCGATCAAACTGCTAAACCTCTGTTGAGAATTCGGGTGGTTTTCCATAAGCTGAATAACTTTGCTGAAATTTATGTTCTTAAACGTTTCAAGAAACTCTATCCATTTGAGCATCGTAGGTTCAATGTCCTCAATTGCTTTGATACCGTAAGCTGTGGAAAGCTTTCGGTTGAAGTCTACGAGTATGTATTCTAAAAGGCCGTCAGACATTTTTAATTTTTTAATTTTTTTAAAAAAGATAATAAAAGAGTTCAATGTGTTATGTAGAAGGGAAAAGGAATTCAAAATGTATATTATTTAGAGGTGATATTTTTACGATATGGGTCAAAGAATTTTTCTCATCTTTATATAAGAATTGTTTTGCGTGTCAAGTGACAAATAAAATTCCAAATTTAAATTGAAGAATTGCATTTTAATTAAAAAATTTTTTTTTCAATTCTAATTTCAATTTATTTTATATACAGTGCACAAAGTAATTTACAATCTATTTACATAAAAAAAAAAAAAAAATAAAATTGTACGTGTCGTACGGATTAATGTATTTACCGATTTTTGTAAATGATCCCAAAATAGGCAAAGAAGTTTTCATGAACGATACTATTGAAATGAATTTAGACATTATAGATATAAATTCATGAGATTGCTTGCGGATAAAATATAAAGACAAATTTTGATATGAGACAGTAAAAAATAAATAAATAAATAAAGCATGAATTGTCAATGAAAAAAAAAAGTTTGATAAAAAAATGGTTTCATGTTCAAAATGTGGTGTAACTAATAAAATTTTATAATGCAATCAAAGATGTATTTTATCGTGAGAATTTTTTTTCAAACATTTGAAAACTTGATTCTTTTATTTGGGTTCATTGATTAGTGGTTAACGGCATTATCATTCCGATCATGCTTCTATGCGAAATAATCTCAATTTTATTTTACATTATTTTATGTGTTTGGGGAATATTGTTCATAAAAGGTCAAACTGATCAAAGCCAAATCTTAAATTCTTCCAAATTTGTAAAGATAGTTCAACTATCAATTCCAAAGGTCCAACGTCCGTTTAAGATGTAGATAACTGGTTCAAACATGTTAACGATTGCAATAAAGTTTCGGCCACATATTTGCTGCGCAATGCGCAGAAAGCATCGTGTGTTCGCGCAATAATAAAAATATCAAAAATTTTGATATTTCTAACGTTAAGCCGGCCGCATACTTTTTTTAAAAAATAAATGGTTATTTAAACAGTTATTAACCTGCTAAGGATTTTTAAAATTTTATGTTTTTTCACCTACAATGGATTGTAAAATTCCATCTTACAACATGTGAAAAGAAGTTAATTTTTCAGTTATGGATACACTTTTACTACATGTACAGTATATTTTTCATTGAAAAGTTATGGATTGTTCGGACAAATAAAATTATCAATTGCACGCTTAATTGCTAGCTTGTCTTAGATAGTTTGATTAAAAAAATTGGATCCTGTTTTAGTAACGATATTCATGCAGTGTAAATATTCTAACATATAAATGAAATAGTATATATCAAATGATGAGCATTGTGTAACTCGTGTAACTCTACCTCAAAATCTGGCGGTCGAGACATGGTTATATATGGTGATGTCGTTCGCGACTAAATAAATCTGATTATGAAGTAGTCTAGCATGAGAAATTTATTAAAGTTCCCATGTACAACTGATTTGTTTTGAAAAAGCTTATGAATGAGTTCATATGATTAAGATAAATATGGAACTTTAAATGGTAAATTCTTTATTCTTGTCATTTGAATTTAGTAAGTAATGAAACAATCTATGATGTATTTAAATGTGAAATTCTTTCTTTATTAGAATTAATTACTTTGAAAACTTGATATTTTTATTTGTGTCAATATTTAAATGCATATTATTTAATAATGATTATGGTATTTATGGAAATTCCTTCACTTTCACTAATAACCATTTTTTTTTTGATTGTTTGAGGCTTCAACTTGGTATTGTTCAATAAAAAGGTATATTGTAAACTGATTATGAAATGCAGGTTTCAAGATGATTAATAATTATTGAATAATTATTT